CTCTACTCTTAATTTAAGTGAAAAATTTCTCGGAACCTGATTTTCCTAGAAATCCTCTCATATATAGCTTTTCTATGATTATGTAGGAATTTATATCTGGAATTCCTCCATTTGATGATAAAGCTCATGATGAAAAACTTGCCTTAAGTATTTGCAATGAACGACGTCCTGAAATTATTAAAGATACTCTACAATGTTATATAAATTTAATGAAAAGATGTTGGAATAATGATGTATTAAAAAGAACAACTGTATCAGAAATTAAATAAATCATTGAAAATTGGTATTCAAATATTAATATTAAAAATTTTGATGAAGAATTTAGAAATGAAGTTTTAGAATTTTATAAAGCAGATAAAGCTTTAGTTAAAAATCAAAGTAATATTTTAAATAATCCTATTATAAAATCACATTCATAAGCATATCATTCAAGTCATTTATTTGAATTTACCCAAAATTTAAATGAAATTCTGAATTGAAATACATTTTAATCAAAATACAGGTAATTATAATATTTATGTAATTTAATTAAAATTTTCAATAAATCTATTTGCTGATTATTTTTTAATTAAAAATATATCATCATTTATTTATTTTTTTAAAATATGTTATAGTGTATTTTATGACAAACCAATTATATTTATTTATTTAGTATATTTGTTTATTGAACACTGAATATAGAATAACTATTTTAGTCAGTCAGTTTGTAATCACATTAACAAATTAAAAAATAAAATAAATATATAACAAATTTACAGAAACTCTAAAAATATTAAATAATATCGATAATTATGTGATTTATACTAAAAAAATATAAATTAAAAAAACTTGCTACATCTCTAATTTTTTAATTTTTATAAAAAATTTATGATTTAAAAAACAGCTATTCTTCATTTTGCTCTTAGATATACCTGCCTAAAATTAATTCTTTATTTTTTAAATAAAATATTTTTTAACTCGTAATTACTTAAATTAATTAAAATTTTTTTGTAGCCCTCATGTTTGTTATTTATAAGCTGTATATAGTCGATAAATGCAAAAAATATTTATAGAAAATAATTATATCTTTTCATTGTATGAGTGTCTTACAACGGTGAAAAAATTAATTTGACATATTTTTTATTTGATTCTACTATTATTAGAATATCTGGTCTCAAAGCAATTTTTTTTTTACCAAAGCGTGATTTATTTGATATATAAAATCATCGATAGAAAAAAAATTTGAAATTTGATGCGGCGATTAGCCATTATTTGTGTGGATTTCATGAGTATTGTAAAATAAAATACCATATATCAGAAGTTTGCTAGAAAAATCAGGCTCTGGGAATTTCTTTGACTTAAATTAAGACATTATTACATTTTAATCTAATAACATCATAAACTAAAATTTAATAAAAATCAAGATTTTGTTAAAAAATTCCCAGAACATGATTTTACTAGCAAACTTCCCATATACTTGAGTTGAATATGAAAGAACGACATTGCAATTTAAATGCATTACTTTCTCTTGAATTTTGTTTTACATCATATTTACCAAAAATTAGTTAAATAAATTATTCGATCAATTTGACATTATTTCTCGTATTACTTTTTTTTAATAAAATTACTTCTTTTATATTAAAATTGGACAATACAATTGAAATGGTCATTTACGCGGTGTTGCAAGAGATCAGCATTCACGAATGGCGCAGTAGCTGCGTGAAAATATTAAAAATATTAAAAATATTGAAAATATCGATAATGTCATTTATATTAATTATATGCGTTAGAATAATTATACTAGTTTTCGTTTTTATATTTGTTTTATTATATATATTTATTAAATTTCTTATAATTGTTATTTATGATATATTCGTTATGTTTGATATATTTATTTTATTTATTTTAGATTAATATTTATAAATTCTGTATATAAACCCCGAAATCCGCTTTGTAAAAAGAGAGGTTGACGAGTCTTGAGAAAAGACGTCCGAATTCTTGAATTAATAAAATTTCAAGTTACACTTTCAAACTTTATCGTGTCTCCATATAGACTGACTAATAACCAACTACACAAAGAATCGTATAAATCTTTCTTAGGACGGGCCTTAGTTAGATTTAATCGTTGTTTGGTTAGCCTGGTTTCGGTTTAAATTCGGGTTAACAGCGGTTAAAACCTGATATTCCTTACATAACCTTCTTTCATCAACTTTGACCTGGGATATTAATATTCATCAGCTTCCAATAGTTTTAAGATGTTCTTATATCATTCATTCTGATATATGAGCCCGTTCAATAAATTTCTTTTTTTTTTAGTTGCTGTAAACGTTAACATTACGGGACTATGCAGAACTTTTCTTTAATGTATAATTCCAGCCGGAATTATATGATTTTTGTCCTTAGTAGATAAATTTCGAGTGGTACGTACTGTAAATGTATATTTAAAGCGGAATTTTCAAAGGGAAAGCTTTGAGTTAATTTTAAAATTCCTTTATACTGGAATTGTTAATTTAGATAATCTAAATAGAACAAGAATGATAATTTTTGAAAATTCAATTTATTGGTTGCGATCAAAAATTTTAAGAGATTGGTATTCAAACTTATATGATAACTGAATATTTAAGCAATGATCAGGTTTTTCAAATGATTTTTTCATATGAAGGTTTTGACGACCTAAGAAATTATTGTTTAGAAAAGTTCTGTAAAAATCCTGAACTTTTATTATAGCAAATCAATTTTTATATACATAAGCTATGCAAAAAAAAAATAAACAAATTAAATAATTTAAAGCATTGATAAATATGAATTCTTTCATATTTTGTTAGGAAATTTCACCAGTATTTCTTAAAAAAAATACATTCGAAAATAAAGGTACTTATTCATAATTCAACAAAAATTTATCAATAAAACTCTAAATGTTCAAAAGAAAAGTTTCTTAAATTTTTAATATAAAATTAAAGCGTATTTTCCTAAAATTATTTACCAATTTTACACGATTGAGTTAAATAAAAATTGAATCATGGGTGCTGATTATCATCAATTATATATAATCAGTTAAAACGAAATACATTGTTAATACAGTAAATTACTACATGGCGTCATGAATATTTTAAATAATACAAGTTTAGCAAATAATTAAAATAGCTGCTGGTACTACTTCAGATAATTGCTACATTGAAGAAATTAAATTAACTTGTTCTTGTTTCCGGCAGTTATGTTATCAGATATAAAGTATTGATTGTCAAGTTTGATTAGTCCATCTCATTCATAATTTCGTTTTCGTAACCATTAACTTTGCTTGTGTTTCACGATCATTTTTAAGTTTCTGAAATGGAATTTTTCTATTAAAATATCCGAAATCTTTAAATTTAATAACTAGCGCATTATTTAACCATTTAAAAACTTCGTTACAACATTTACATAAAATAATTTTGTTCAAATTTATCTCTCGCTAATGTACAGTACCGGTCCTAGGTGAAGCTTAAATAATTTTCTTGTAATAGAACAGTTAATAATAATTAACGTTAAAGTAATATATGAATATCTTATAAAACTTTGCTAAGAAATTAAATAAGATTCAACTGTAGAATGGACATATAAATATCGGGAAAATCAAATAACTTTAATATTTTAAATGGTTTTCGAGCAAAGATATGTTCAGATTTACCATTTAATTTTCCGGCATTGTCTCCTCTATTGCAAGGTCTCATATTTATTGGATAATCCATATATCGTTCAAATGATCGAGAATTTATTAATAAACTTGATGAATAGAACTTTATTACAATTGAATTGATTACGAAATCATAAATAGAAATATGGATCGATTGCTATTAAAATCAAGTACGATCCGTAACATAATTTCAATAGAATACTGCCATATATTCGGGTTTTCTTGGTAATAACTTGTGCCTATAAATATCAAATTAGTATGTTAAACAATTTGTATTAAGTATCAAATAGTCCATAATTCTTTCGCAATCACTTATTTAGATGTACCAATGTTGAGAAACTGTACGTGCATATCTTGGAAAAAACTTCATATAATATAAGTGTTCAAAGTTTAATTTCGATTATTTGTTCCATTTGGTTTATTTTGTTTCGATGTAATGAATTAAATTTAAGAAGACAAATTTTAATTCGTTAAATATTCAGATATTCATTACAGCAATATTTGAGATTTGTCATATTGACTACTAAATTTAAAAAGTAAGTTATACATCTGAAAATTATTTTTTGAAGCGTTTAAAACTAAACAAAGAATAAATATATAGAGGTACTAATGATCGCAATATTGTCTTAGTTGCGCAGCTCTCATAGTTTCTGCAAAAGTTTTATAATTTTCGCATTAGACATTTGAAATAATTGTGAGTTCCTAATTCCATGACCTAACTCATAATCATCTGCCAATTTGAGCAGGTCTTTTTTATAGCGTTAAATTTGAGGATTGATTAATATATCATGCAAAACCCTATTATTCCTAATATTAATCGAATCTTTATTTTGAATTGCATCGTCGATATCCTGACTGTACAGATCGACACTGGATATAACGAACCTTCCGTTCCAAAAGATTTGGTTCGGTATAAAGTGAATTCGCTATATGATAATCATGTTATGGCTTAATATACATGTTCGGTTAAGATTGGTTCGGATGCGGTATATAACTTTTTATTATATGATTTCGTTATATCCGGCCTGGTCAATTTTATAAAATAATCGGTTCTGTAACACATGGTTCGGTATAATAAGATTTCGGTATAAGCAGGTTCGTTATATCCAGAGTCGACTGTAATAAGATTCTCCGACAGTGATCGTAATGGATCTAGTCAGATCTGCTGTGAATTTCCTATGTTAGTATTCCGAGCTTGAAGAAAGCATATACCGACTTGTCTTTATATTCTCACCATTCAAGCTATAGGTAATGTCGTTCAAGGGAGATGACTGATCTAATAGAAATCTAATTCTGTTAATACTTGATTGATCGTGTTGTCTGATCCGTATTTCAAAATTAGGCGGTTTTATTTCTTTGACATAGTAGAATACTTGGCAAGCCTTAGATCAACACATTCCTCTTCACCTAGTTCGCGGTTTAAAGCTAAATAATCGCGGTTAAACGAATTTTGATACATGTTAAAAATTAAGGAATAATGGATCGTTTGAACGAATATAAATAGTCAAACTAATATCCTCCTTTAAAGATTCTTCTTCGAACCATTTAATGTTTAAATATTTCAGCCCAAGAGTTTTTCCGGAGATGTTTGACTACAATAGAAACATTTGGTTTTCCGAATGGATATTTTTGGAGTACGTGTGGAGGCGGAATGACATTTATGCGATCAAGGGCATTTGACTCCACACGACATCTTTATACAGAGGAAGGATTACGTCTTTCAAGCAACCAAAAATTTGGTTGTGATGATAGTTTAGGTCGACCAAGTTTTTAGCAATTGGGAAGATTGGAAATCTTCTGATGTTTTCTAGTTAATATTTTTATAGAAATAATCATTCAAAGTAAAGCATCGATAATTATGTCAGTTGGAGGTTCCAGCTCATTTTGTAATTCCTCGATCTTTAAGCGCATTTATCGAATGTTGTTTGATTACTGTATTATTGAATCCAATACTTGATAAACACTCAGCGCGTTCTAATAGACCGGAATGAAGAAAGACGTCCGTGTTTCCGTTTCCACCAAAAAAGGTCCAAAATACAAAGTTATTAGGGTCGAATAAATCGGTAATACTCTTCAATCATTTCGTATAAGAATTGGGCAAACAACGTCTATCTCTTAATCCTTGAACAACTCTATTATCAACAAGTACGCTATATAGGAAGTATACATAAGAGTTATTGCATCTATAAGGAATTCAACATCCTCGAAAGTATACGAATGGGTGTCTCGATAGGGAACATTGTGACTGAGAAAGGTTGCAAAGTTGGAATGTGGATAATATGGATGATATAGCAAAAAATGTATGGACGTTCTTGTTTTATATCATTTTATTCCATTATGTAAAAGAATTCCGCATGAAGCTGGTTTTAAAGCTTTTCCGAATCTGAATTCGAGTAAGTTGGCCAAATAGGAAATAAGCGAACTAGTGATTTTACTCGTCATCAGATTACACTCAATTCAAAAACAGAAATCTTAGTGTTAAACAATAGTTTTAAATACATTTTTATATACAATTTATACGGAGTAGTTACCATTCCCAAATAGTAGTTTGAAATTGACAAATGCTTGAAAAAATTTCCACGCGGTTATTTACGTTGTTTTCAATGCTACCGTCGTTAATCAAGATGTTTCATTTTGAAACATATGCTTAAGCGCTTTAAAACCGTATTCAACTGCGTGATTTGGATTATTTGTGGACGGAAAAAGCCAAAACTTTGAGATAGCATCGTTAAATTATAATTTGAAAGCTTCTAATAGTAGCTTGCAATGAAGACTTGGCAAGAAATCTAACAGAATATGCCTGTTCCAATTAAGTTTCAGATGATCCAAATACGGTATGTCATTTTTTTCGATTAATAAAATTGCACAATCTGAGCCCTGGGCCCAAGTTGAACAGGCAGATTTGTGGTGGTATCAGGCAATGAAAGAAAGTAGTACACTCTACCATTAAAGTCTTTTGGATTTTCAAGTGTTGTTCTGCAACGCAGCCCAATAAGCGTAATCGATATTGCCGCGCATATTGCATTAGCTGAGGATCTTCAGGATCGCGTTGGGCTCCAACGACTGTTGTACTGTTTATTGTTTATATCCCCATTATCAGTAGTTTAGTCTTTATCTGAAAAATATGAAATTCGTCATTGGTGCCGTTTTCACATTTTCTTTTATTTCGCATGGTTTATCCAATCCCTGCGTAGTCACTTTACAAAGTGGTTTTATTTGAAACGGAACCGTAGCTTCAGATATTTGGAAATTTCAACAGTCTCGACTTCGAAGAAACAAAAATTGTGAGTGAATTCTCGATTTAATTTTGGTGAATAATTCGAGGATCTGATCTACAGAAAAATTGTCGGATATATCACTTTTTTCTTTCAGAAGTGGTATTCGAAAGTGTGTCTCGAAGAAAATCGATGAACCAATTGATCTTGTTCAGTGAATTCTGATATACCATTCCTTGGAAGAGAACCAATAGTACCACGTTTGTTTAAGTATTTCTCTTGAGGATCCAAAAACGCAATAAAATCTCCGCTAATGAAATCCGGAACATCGGTAAAATGATAGCATGAATTAAAACCTAATTCATGTTTCCCAATCTTTGTATCGTTATCTTGTTTTCCACCAACGCGAATTTGCATAAGCGATTTAAAATCGGATTCCATGAATCTTGCATAATTGAATATCAAGATAGCGGGGCCCTGACATTCCTTCAATCCACTGCAAAGTAGAGAGATGGGGATGTGAACGAACGTCGATTATGTTATGAATCCTAGTAGCTCCGGCGTCATCAGCTTTTGTTTTTATTATTATTAGTAACAAACATTATTTGAAAATATATATTCACATTTCTTTTTACCATTTTGAAGGAATTCTCTAAATACTCTCGCAAGGGTAATACTAACCAAATAATTAATTTACATATCATATCATATTATTTCAAAGGTAAGTGTAATACCTTAATAATATTACGGATGGACGAAATAAGCGTTTCATTTTGACCGTAATTTCTGCAAGTTGAGGCTAGCGACAAAATGTCTTGTCTGTCGTTAACGGAAGGAATATTTTTCTAAGCCGGAAATTTGGGTGCGTCAATTTCAAAGTTAATGTTATTTTTATAAAAGTTGTTCCATTGCCCCGTCTATTTTGGATTTTGGCGTAAAAATGTATAAATATAAAGAAATCTATAAGTGTCACATGATTATATGTGATTCCGGTCTTTGTATATTATGTATAATAAAATGCTATGCTAATGGCAAGTGACAATTTGTAATGCGCGAATGATTATTTTGGCAAATTTTTATTAGCGGATTAAATCTATCCTCCTGACATCATCTCAGATCTAACTAAGGATAAAAAAGATTATGTAAATTGCCGAAATCTAATAGCAGAAAGTTCGATAATGACTTCCCCTGCGTAACCTTCAAAAATGTCACGAAATGGCCGGCATCATGGCATTTGGCTGGAATTAATTGTGGTGCACATGTGACATATATTAATGACAAATAGATTTTTAATTAGTGAAATATTCTAAGTCCCCATAATACTTAGTAAAAATGAAACGCGGAGGGAAATGACACCAGTGACAAATTATATTTCGTGAAATTTCATGACATTTTTTGAAGGGTACACAGGGGAAGTCGTTCGATAATGTACTGCGTCATGTGATTAATCAATTTTACTGCGCAATTTTGACGAGCCAGGACACAGTGTCCAGGCTCGCCTTTTTTCGCCAATTATTACTATACTAGGTAACGGAACCGTTAGAGCATCTGAAGCGTTCTACGCCTCCACAATATATTTTTAGTACTGCGATATAATGATCAGAGTAGTGCAAGTTACACAATTACACGTTAACTTTACACGTGATAACTGTAACAAACTGACGTACACAAAAAGTACACTTAATCACATTACGCAAGATCACACAATATGATTGGTTGTATAGTGACAGACATTGCATAGTTGGTATAAGCTCAGAAGGGTAGTCCTATATTACACTTCGGACAGTTAAGAAGGCGTGATGTTCTGTCGCATATTTCACGTGATATAACGTTTTAATGTTGACATATAATACGCCGGACACGTCGCATGTTGATCATAGCTATAAGAAGGCGAGTGAGGCATATTGATATGTTTATATGCTTTTTTTGACTTTGCGTATGTGCAACATTACTAACGTTTTTGAATTTCTGTCTCACATAAAACATTCGCTCACTTCTCAAAAAAATTTTTGTAAGTTTTTAAAAAATTAAACGGTTTGGTAGTTTTAAGATATCTTTAAACAAGTTTCTATTATTATATGCTGATTTTAATATGTGAAAGTATTTTAAACAATTTTAATATGAAAAATATGTTATTTTGACTTAAGGTATTTAATTTTAATGTGATAATTTTTTTGATTTTAAAAACTTTTTTATATTAAAAAAAAATAATAATAAAATGAAAACTTTTTCTACAAGTATTTTATATCTTATTAGTTTAGAAAATTTAAATTTTTCCAATAATATATAATTTTAAATTAGTAAAATATATTATTTTCTTATTATTTAATAATCTATCTTATTTTTACATATTTATTTAATATTTTATTAATATTGTCTATGTCTATTTAGCTCAATAGTGTTATTCAAAAAAGAACATAAATTACTTACCTTTAATAAAAGTTATTATTTCAGCCAAGTTGTATTTAAATTCAAAGTATTTATTAAAAACTTCTCACTATAAAATTTTTATAATATAAAAATTCATTTCTTTATTTACAAAAATTGATTTTTTGTATTTTATAAAAATCCAACTGAATAACATACTTTACAACCTAAGAGTATCTTCTTTCTCTCATAAAATTACATATATTTTTATTGTTTAAGTTATATATTTGTATCCGCTTGTAAGAAGATCTTGAAAAACTTATTTTGAAAGTAAAATTTTGAGTAAAATTTTGAGTAAAATTTTACGTAAATGTAAAAAAAGTAGTTGTCTAAAAGGAAATTCAATGGTTATAATTGATAGAGTATTTGATAATCTATCATTTTCTTAATTAATATAATAATATACCATTTTGTGATAATTAAGTATAGAGTAATATAACTCAATTATAGTTATATAAATTTTTTAATATGAAAATGATCTATTTGTGATATATTTAGCATATTATATCATCTGATTAGCGTAATTACTGATGTACAATTTATAAAAATAATTCAAAAATACTAAATTAGATAATAGATTAATCAATCTGATTTAAACTTTAATTTTAGTAAGTTTATTTTAATATTATTATTAAAATTAGTAAACATAAAAGATTTTCTTTTAGACTAATTAGTCAGATTTGTCTAATTCTAATTAAAGATTATTTTCAAATTAGATCAATTCATATAAAAATTTAAATCAGTTAGATTTTTATTTAACCTAATCTTAATTAAATAATTATTTATTTTTAAAAAATCATTAATAAGAATTTTAATATTTTTTGCTAAATTTATTTACTAATTTTTCAAATAAATATAACAATAAAGTATTAATAATTTTTAAAAAAATTTTATTTTTATTTAAATAATTATTATTAATATTTTTCTAGATCGCCTTCTTATTAATAAAAATTTTTCTGACTAATATTTAGAATTGTCTTCAGATAATATTAAAAAATATATAACCAATTACTTTTAAATAGTAGCTGATTCTTCTAACAAAGAATTTACTACTAATAATTTTAATATTAAATAATTTTTAGTATTAAAGTTATAAAACTATTAAAATATTAATAACTAGTATAAATCTTTTTTTAATTTATATTAATGAATAAAAAATACTTAAATAATCTTATTTTATACTTTATTAATGATAAATTTTATTCAACTAATATAATTTTATATAAAAAAAAGTGGTTTATACTTTTAGATTTTATTTATCAGAATAATAACTCTTTTAATATTTAAAATCAAATATTAATTAAATTAATTTTTATTTTTAATCTATTAAATTACTTGAAATATGCTTTTAATTTATTCATATATAATTGTCAATATATATATATAGTAAAATTTATTATTAAAATTTTTTTGATAATTATTTTAATAATCAATTATTTCTTATATTTAAAATAATTTTATTTTTTAAAACTGATTACTTTTAATATTAATTTTATTTTATGTATAAATTAACTTATATATATAAATATATCATAATAATAATATATATTAAATTTTAATATTATTAATTGCAATAATTGAAATATAAATAATAAAAAGAATTGATAAAGAATATATATAGATTTATTAAGAATTTATCATATAATAATCAAATAAATATTTTAGTATTTAATATTAATAATTGATTAATATTATTAAATACTACAGTTATTCTATTAAATGTAAATAGTTAAAATATTTCTTAGCTTTAAAATAATTAATAAAAATATGCAAATCTCTTATTAAATTATTTATTATTACTTATATAGTAATTAATATTAATTTATTATAATTAATAATAATATTTAAAATTAATCTAATTGTAATAATATATTACATATAATAATCCTGCAGCAACTAATATTATTTAATATTTTTATTTACATTATAAATAAATTAAAATGATTATATTAGTTCTATTAATAGTTATTATATGTAATACCATAAATTTCTCTATAATATATCCCCTATAAATACATATATATTAGCTAATTTCAGAAATTTTTATAATATATATTTATTATTATTTTACAAGATCAATCATCAATATTTAAAGGTTTAAAGCTAAATTCTTTTATAGATCGAACAAATGTTAAGAAAATATTTTATTAAATAAAATAATAAATATAATAAATAATTTCTTTTTATTGTAACTTAATTATTTTTAGTTATAATATAGTATTTTTTAGAAATTTTTTATATAAATAATTGTTATTGTAATATAAAGAAAACTTAAAAATATTAACATAATATTATAGTGATATAATATAATTTTAGTTATTATTGTAATTTTAGTTATTATTTTATAAAACTTTTTCATATCTTAAAATATCATTACAAGAATTGAAGGTATCATGAAATAATAAATTTTAGTTCTTTTATTTCAAAATTTTATTTAATATTATTTAATATATTTATTTAAAATGATATTATAATTATTAATAAAATGATATAAATACTTTCATATTTTTGATATGAGTATATTAATTTAAGATAGCAGCTAAAAGTAGTAATAAAAGTATTTTAAAAATGCAAATAACTAAAAAATTACTAAGACAGTAATATGCTTATAAAAAATTAGTAATTATCATATATTATGAAAAAAATGTAATTAGCATTCATAAAACATGCAAAAAGTTTAATATTCAATCTAAACAATTATGAGAATAGATAAATCAAAAATAAAATTTAATTAACGCATCTTTAAAAACTTTTAAATTATATAAGAGAAGATAATTCAAATATTCACAATTAGAAGTTATTTTATTAAATGAATTACTTACCAAAAATAACTAAAAAATCCTGTTACTCAAGCATTGATAATTACAAAAGCATTTTCACTTGCTCAAAATACAGATTTTTAAAATTTACCTAATATTCAAACATTAAAATTTTCAAGTAAATGACTTGATGGCTTTTTAAATTGATATAATTTATTAATTTGATGATATACTACAATTATATAATATTTACCTAAAGATTTAAAAAAATATATAGGGATTTTTTTATTATATTTTAAATAAGTGTAATCAATATAATTATCTAATATATTTAATTAAAAATATAAATAAAACTTCACTTTCTTTTGATTTACCAAATCTACAATAATCAAAAAATGTAAAGCTTATAAAGTTAGCATTTGAACTATAAGTAATAAGAAAAAAACTTTACTGTAGTTCTTGCATGTATGACTGATAAAATTAAATTACCTTCAGTCTGTATTTTTAAATTAAAAAATATATCCTGAGAAAGCTTCTTAATAGTATATTTATTTGTATTAATAAAATAAGCTAGTCTAATAAAAAT